CGACCAGTCTGAAAGCGCTGCTTTATTTGGAAGCGAATCCACCGCCAAACAATACTCAACTATGGGACGGGCAATCGCCACCAACACCAAAACATCAGAAGGGCAAGCCGGTGGTGCACTTGACGGATGGCGACAACAAGGTAGGACAGAGAGCATAAAAACTACTTAAGTTCACGTCGTGATGCTATAATTAATTTTACAGACTTTAGGATTCTTTGGTCCATACAAGAAGCAGCGAGAAGAGAAACTATATGAGGGCAGGGTCAAGAATGGTCCCTTATGGAATGCTAAAAAGGAAACTGCGACATCAGGTGCGTTTGGTGCGCCAAAACCTGCACTCCGCGTAAACGATATTATAGGTCGCGCCTTGAATCGAATTGGCGCCTATAAAAAATTGGACAACAAGCAACAGAAAGTGGCATTAATCGATGATGTAAGATTGCTGTACTTCGATTGCAATTATTAAAGTGAAAATGTAAAAACTTTTTTTTCTTGATTTGTACCTAGGATATGTGCATAAATTGCGGCAAATGTTATATGACGTGCAATGACTCCGGCTATCAGGCCATACAATTCGATGCCGAGACGCATATACCACATGTCACCGATGATTGCACCGGTTGCACGTTGTGTGTTAGTGTTTGCCCCATTATTGATTGCATCAGGTGAGTAGCAATTCACTGTGTTATTAGATAGTTGGTCTTCTACATACATATGTATGTATAATCTAATATTTTGCAGCATGGTGCCAAAGAAGATTCCCCATATTATCAAGCGTGGTTGGGGTGAGAATACACCTGTATATACGCATGCGCTTAGTCAGATGCAGTAACCATCGGACAAACACTAAATGTAAAACTGGTATTGCGATTTGCAAAATATCATTTCCATGGTCTGTATGTAGTATGTACATACATGGTAGTACTCATAAGGGTTTACTAAATTTAAATATATATTTTCTAATGTATTTAGTATTGATTTTTAGCTCTTTGAATAAGTTTTAATTCAACAATAAATAAATTGATTTTAATGATTTTCACATACATAAGTAAGTGATATTTAGACTGTAAATTCTAAATAAATATACTAATATTTTCCATTGTTTCAAGTAGTTGGTTAATATTTATTTATGCTTGGTTAGCCTTCTTAGCGACCTTAGGTCTATTACGCGTCCAACCCTAGCGCCCAAATGAAACCTAGCAGTTTCAGGGTTGGCATACATACATTGAGTGTGCTTAGGTTCTGACCACAGCTCTCTCAGAAGGGTTTATCTTCTTCTCGCAACAGCACCACATTCTAAAAGGAGGTACTGTGGGGCTTCTGATGTTGTTTCACAGGAGCAACACAATTCGTTTGCGCTAATTGCGAGGATTTTCATGTGGATTCGCAGCCTGCAATGACCCGTCAGTTCAACTGTTATATATCTTAAAATTGTCTTTGGAATAGTAATTAGATCACTAGTTCTTTTGGGATTTCATCTTCCTAAAAGGTTTTTCGCCTGCCGTATCCAGTATGTGGTACTCTTAACTCTGCCTTTATAGTACATATTCCCCTTCGTGTATGGAGTTTTGTTACCCTAAGTTGTTCACTGTCACAACACAATTCCCATACCCATTCGCGCACATGAAGATGTGGCTTTTAGCGCAGCCTGACTGTTGTTGCAAATGACAAAGTGCTGTCTTCTTAAATATCTTTTCAGAATTACGTCTGGACAAATATTACTGGTATAAGCCTCTGCTTGAATGATGCTAGAATAGTTTCCAATTTGAATGGAGATCATGGCTTTACGACCATATATACCTGCCCCTATACATTAGTTATTTAGTTTTGGAGCCATCTGTGCACCACCTTTAAGGCTGTGGTTCCAGGCCCTCGTGAAAATCCACCGCAGGATATAGGAACTCTACATCCGATCAATCTTTTTCATACCACTAAAGCTCGTTTGGCTTTTGTGACAGCGTATGTACTTTACGTGCTTTTTCCATATTATGATAATTATGCACAGATACGATTTCATCAGTTTTGCCCAAGAAGTAAAAGAATTTTAAATTTTTAGATTATGAATACATGATTATAATAAGTGTCCTTTATTGATATTGATATCGTGTTTTAGTTTCACATTTGCTCTTTCTTTTTAATGCTTATCTTTATAACCACATGTTTTCCTTCCTAATTATAAATACAGTTTTCGATAGATTTTAGTTTAATGAAGTTCTCCACAACATTTTTTTAAGGGAAACAAAATCAGCTGAAATTGTTTAAATTCATTAACTAAAATGCAATTAATGAGTGACATGAGCAACGCAAGTGAAATTAAAATGAAAATGAAAACTAACTAAGCTATATGTATGTATGTACATATATGTACTTATGGACATACATATATGTATGTATGTATAACTACAGATACAGAAGAAAGTTGATATGCACAAACAAAACCGAATTCCATGATATGAAAAATTACTTTAAAATGCTTTTGTAAAAAATAGAAATAATTTAATTTGTATATAAAAAGAAAATATTTAAGTGAACATAAAATATTAATTTAAATTGAGCAAATATCTACATATCATAAGAGTTGCGCAGTAATTTAAATAATGTTTTTATGCATAATAAACTAATATTAAATAAAATGTTAAAAAATTCTAACAAACTTTTTTTTTTTTTGTTAATTAAACACACAATAATATTGCAAACTTGCTTTTGAAAGCGCTTTCTGCAAATTATATGGAACATAATTTTTTTTAAGAGATTGCATTTCTATTTAGTACAAAGAGGTCTGTCGACCACTTTTTTTTTGTATAAATTATTATTACAAATTTGTTCCTCGCGTTTACACTGTTGGATATTAATTGAAGCTTTACGCTTATTGTTATAATTTTTGTAGTCAGTGTTAGTCTGACTTTATAAATACATACATATGTATTTATGCATGTATATGCTCAATATTTCTTATGTTTGCATATAGGTATGTATGTATGTATTTGATAAATATTACTTATAATCGATATACATATAAAATTTAGATTATAATTTTTAATAGGAATACGTACGCATATAATGGAGGATTTTCTGATTAAAATTGCTAAAAAAGCTTTTAAAATATTCACGCATGATCAATAAAATTGCAAATTTTTTTTTGTTTTTGTATGTATCTATAATATTAGTTAAAATATACTACATAAACGTTTCAAAATTTTATTACCAAAGTTTTTTTATTTAAAATGTACATATATGTACATATGTATGTGTATATGTATGTATGTACTTATGAACATATATTAACTTTATTCATTATAAGTTTTAATTTGTAAAAAATTTTCGCACCGGAAGGATTCACGAAATTGGCTTTTCATCATAACTCGGCGCACTACATTCAGGCAAGCGGATACGGCAACCCGGCGGCACACGGAAATTGATATGGTTACTTCAAAAAAAAAAACTGTTTTTGAACATTGTTTTTGCAAGTTTTGAAACTTTTACTGAACTATAGTAATTGATGAACAGCAAATATTCGTATAGTTTTAAAGCGTGTTTCGTAAAATATATTCAACTAAAAATTTGACTATTCCGTTCTAAAATAATCTCGGAACGAACAACGGTCGCAACCTCGCGCAGGAGAGAGACAATTGGCATAGTTTTCCTGGTCTCGGCACAAATCGACAAACTGTTGTGGTGCCAAATAAGAAGAAGAAGTGCTAAAATTTATGGTTAATCTATGTCAAATCGACCAATGGTTGCAATCGATCATTTTTTGAAAGTTTATTTCTTGAATATCTCGAAAACTATTACAGTTACAAAAATTTTCTGATCTCGTTTTAAAAGTTTATTTAGGACTATAAGCATAAAATATTATAAAGAATTTTAGAATTTTAAATTCAAAACTGATGAAAAAATTGGCCAAAATTTTTTTACGCAATAACGCCAATTGGTCTTAAAAGATCCTAACAGTTTCAAGAAGTTGTTTTGAAAGATATACCTAAAATTTAGAAATTTACAAAAATTTTTATTTGCAAACTCAAAAAGAGGTTATGCTTAGCAATATAATTTATGTACTTGCATTTTTAATTTGGAGTTTGCAAAAGTTTTTTTAAAGTTCAAAAATTTATATCTTAAACAACACCTTCTTGAAAATTTCAAAATCTTTTAAGATTAGTTAGAGTATTGTGCAAAAAAATTTTGGCCATAAATGTATATAAGCTTTTGTTTTTAAAATTTTTCTAAATTGCAAAATTCTGTATTTTTTTGTTGTTCGAATTATATATGTACACATGTATGTTTTTATAAAGCCCCAAACAGCCTCTTTAAACCGAGACCAGACATTTTTGGTAACTATACTATTTTTTGAGATTTCGAAATTTTTTGTATATATTTTTTTTCTTTGGCGGAACCTCGTTATATGCTGAAAGAAAAGTTCTGACAAAAATTCAAAATCACAAATGGTCGAATTTATATGGATTGACCCATCTATTTTGGCACTGCTTCTTCTTCTTATATGTCACTGACAAACTGTTGTTATCGTTTTGTTTAGTTTTGACCAAAATGTAACAAACTATCGTTGATTAAATATGCAAGGTGGCACAGAATGAGTAACTCTATTTGAAGACATTAAAACTTTTGCAGTTGGTGGTGAATATAATTAGGTTTTTTATGACATTTTACGAGTGACAGTTAAGAAATTTATTGTGTTTCAAAATGCCGAGGCATACTCTAGCAGAACGCGGAAAATTTGTTGAGGAAAACTTGTCTAGGCCGTTTAATTTCTCGATTAGGAGATTTCGGTTGAAGCGAGATGGCCCGACCTGACGGCCCAAGACTACTTTCTGTGGTGTTACTCAACGGGGTAAGGTCTACTTTAACAAACAAAAAAAAAAAACAAAAGAACCGAAATATGCATCAACTCTGGCGGCGGCCACCTATCAGATATCATTCTCCAGACATGAAAAAATTTCGTTAATTGCCTCTAATAACCACATTCGCTTAAAAAATAACTATACTTGAATTATTTTTGAAACGACATTAAAAGACAATAGGGTTATTCTTTTTGCGACACCTTGTAGAAAGGCTCTAAATTTTTCTATGTCGTTTCGATGATATGTTTGAGACCAATTGGAGAATTACATTGGAGTTCAAATTGAGAAACTAACTTTTTCTTAAGTTGAGAAACCATCCTATTTTCATACATACAAAGAAAATGCCCTTTTTTGTTGAGAACGCTATGATTCTCCACTTGAGATACGGTTGAGAAACAACGTTGGAGATACGAGAACTATCTTATTTTTCAACTTAATCGTAATTTGAGCTCAAACCAAAATCTTTGTTGCGTTCGGGCCTTTCTACATTTCATCAGCGATATGGAACATTTAAAATAAGATTTTCCTAAAATTCTGACGCGCCAGTTTGCTTTAGCACTTCATATTGCAAACATCTCCGTTTTTTTTACCGCGCGTTTGCCGCCGCACCACTTAAGCTTTTCCTCAGGGCAATGCAAATTTTTTATTAAATGTTTTCCGTTTATTCTTGATATAAAAGCTAAGTTTTCTTCCTGTATAAAATTCTGTAAAAAATTGTGCGTTTCCTGTTTTGGTTGGCAATTTTTTGTTTGTATTTTTTGTTTACACATGTATATGTTTTCTTAATTCCTTTCACATCTGGTACGGTATAAAAATATTATGTTTGCTTTCAATATGTTTGTATGTATGTCTTTATGTATGTAAAAGCGTGCGCTCAACGGCGTATTTTGACCAACTGCATTTAGCTCTTCTTAAGTATTCGCTTTCTTAAATCTCCAATTGCATTTGTATTGTATTTTTAGTTAGTTTATTAATTGCATGCGTATTCTTACAATTTATTAATTCATAATCATTTATTTATGTTAAACGATTTTAGTCGCTCAACTATATTGCATTTTATTTAAGTTTATTTTGTTGCCTTTTTATCTTTTTTACTCACTTTATCATTTCTAATAAATATATGTAAGTATGCGTGTGTGTGTGTGTGTGTACATAAGCTTTTCCATATTCATTATTGGCAAACACTTATTCTTCTTATTTTTGTTATCATTCACTTTTGCATATATGTATGTATGTATGCAGCATTCAAATTACATACTAACAGGATTATCAGTTAAGCAAATACCCAGCACTTTTAGCCGTCAATACCGCTTTAGAATTCCCATTGTGTGGCCGAATCGCTGCCATCGTCGAGCAGCTTGAAAGCGCCGTTTTTCGTGGCACCCAAATATTTGCCAGTTTGCGATCTGTAAATAATATTCGTATTAAAATTTTATGAAAATACACACCAATAAATACTCAAGCCACATACCTTATGCAAATTCGTGTCGGTTCTCGCAACTCCAAATAGAAACCATCAGCGGGTGCGTCCGCATCGACGGCGATGCCTTCGCCATCAATGCGCCAGTATTTGCCGCTGTGTGCCTTCAAGTGAACCAAACCCTTTTGGGCGCGCTCCACCAAGATCGTTTCGTATGTGGCCTTATTGCATTCCAGCTTAAGATTGCCGGGCGTGCGATAGCCAACAAAGCCCTGTTCGCATTTAAGTACAAGTATGGGTCTGTAAAGCGCGAAAAAATCAATGACTTTTGAACAATAAATATTTAGTCTTACACCAAGTTGCCTACATACATATGTACATACCTATTTATCAAATAGAAATAGAACTTTGTTATTTCCTCAATACTTTCTGAGGTGGCAAATAAGTGTCCGGAACGTTTCGTAGCCAAAAATTTGCCATTATTCGCGCGGAACGACAATGAGCCATCACCGTGCCAGACCAGTTCGAAAAGCGCATCAGCACAACGTCTATTACCAGTGGCTTGTATGCCACCACCAGTGGACAGACACCAATAGCGATCTTGTGTTGTGCGCAACGCCCAGCGATGAGCCGACCAGTCAAACTCCAATTGGAATGTCTCGTTCTCGCCCACCTCATCCTGATTGGCGGTCACATCGACGCCTTGTTTCACCGATACATAACGCGAATTCAACTCAGCTATAAACGATGCTTGCGGCAAGGAATCTTCCAACGAGAATAGCTCATCACGTGTCACAGTGGAAGAACGCGATTTTAGCACAGCCTTGGAGCCGATTGGAGAAAGATACTGGCTTTGTCTGTCCAAAAAAAAAAAAAAACGAAATTAAACAAATTGTGAAGTTCATTAGTTATCATCAATCACTGGAATTGCATGTGTCCCAACTCACTTGTCACGCAGCGCCAAGTGTCCGCCATGATATTCAGCGCTGAAGAGACAATCCTCATTGCAAATAGTTTGCAGTTTGCCGTTGGCATTCAAATACCTATCAAAGAAAATTAAGAAATCGTTAGTGTACCGGAATGAAACAAATCAACAGCCGTTAACGCTTAGCGTCATTAGAGTGCTGCTGCGGTTGCTGCTTGTTCTATTTACCGGCGCGATGGTAATTGTTTATAAATGCACACAGCACTTTGCAATTGTAACACCACTCGCCGCTACTACTACTCACTTGTTGTTGCATGTATGCAAGGCATAACGTCCGCCCTCCTCTGCGCGGAATTCCAATGTAAATAGCGTATCTTCACCCCATGGAATATTCGCATCGACATGTATCTCATCTTGTGATTCGGACAGATGAGCGAAGCGCTTACGTCCAATCGAACGCAAATTCACTTGTGGCCTAGCAGCCAAGTGTACTGTCCAGAATTCGCTGGCGCTAGGAGTTTTAGCGGTACATACGAGTTTGTCGGGTGTACCGCCAAGGAAATAACCACGTGATTCGTTCTTTAATGCCCAACGGCCAGTGCCATCCTCACTGATGCTTATCTGGAAACGACTGCCGGCGTCGCGTTCATCCGTCTCGCATAGCACATTGCCAAACGTATCGACCGATAGATATTTATTAAGATGAGATCGTAGATATATAATACCTGTAAGGAAGCAATAAAATAGAGGTGGGGGTAAATATGTGTATATGCATTAAGAGTGAAAGGTTATAAGTGAGCATGACGGTATATCCGGGAATGTTGTATTAAGTAGTTGTGATTCTGTTTAGTAAGGGTCTAAAAATTATGAAATTAAGTTAGGTATATATATTCAGAACCATGAGGTTAGATAATACATTAGATTCAAAGATCCAGAAAGGGTTGTCATGTGAGGCCTTGAGAGCCAGAGTAGATTAATTGGCATTTCCAAAAAAAATGAGGTGCAGCTTAAAATGCATGAGTAGAATCGAAACAGTAATAGCTCGACACGCCCTTTTGTCAAACAAAGTTCCTCTGCCCTCTGTCTCAAAAGAAAGACGTTTAAGTAGGATTACTGCCGATAATATTTTTGCAGCCTGTTAAATTATTAAAATCGACGAGATAAATTAAACTATACGGCAAAATCAACTTTTTTTCTGGGTATTGGACCAAAACAATTTTTTTTAGAGATTGAGCCACAAGTAAAAAAGTAATTTCTCCATTTTTCGTTGTAAGCCTCCGAAATCGAGATATGGGTCTTCGAAGTTCGAAATTGGACCTTTGGTAAAAAATTATTTTTAATCATTATGTGTAAAATACTAAAAAAAAAATAAAAGTACGGACATTATCCGCATATGTGGTGTATAATTTTTTTTTGTGCAAACTTATATTCGGCTGCTATATGGGGTCAAAGGTCAGGTTCAAAATTTTCTGAACATATTTTTTTTTAATTTTTCGAAGACCTGATCTTTGACCGCTGAAACCTTTGATTTAGAAATATGTATGTACATACACTTTCCAGCACCTTTAACGTATTTTTGTTTTGATAGTCCATCTCACAATACCTAAAACTACTAGTTATACCGTTGGCGTCTTGGTAATTTTTAACCAAATTTGCAAAAATTTTTTTCTTGCTGTATCAAATTTGGTAATTTGTTTTTCAGTCTGATAACTTTTCCGATTCGGTCCTACATGTTGTAGAGTAGATTATCTCCTTCCATAGGTCAATACAGGCTCGGTCTAATTCCATATTTGTAAGTGGCCCTTCATTCCTTTTTAAACTTAAGAGCAACGGTTTGCGTTTCCTCTTACAGAAAGACCAAGTAATCCTGGAAATTGTTCCATCTTCATTGGCTTATAGAATAGTATGATCCCTAACAAACTGTTTACCAGCTATATCCGTATAAGTCGAATTCTATTATTTCTTGGCCATAACTGGACAAATGTTGATTTTCAAGTGCTTCGAAGTTTGAGGTTTATTCGCATAAAACGGTCATCCGAGTAGCTTCATAAGTAGTCTAACGGTGTCAAGTCGGATGATCTCGGTGACCAAATGACATCCCTGATAATCCTCTGTGGTAATGAAACGTATTCATGACACTGTGAATGATCAGATGCCTTGAGTTGTTTTAGGGTATGAGCCTTATAGGGATGGGGATGAATGAATGACTGCAGCTATCTAACCCACATTTGTAATTTTAGTAGCATGGTCGTTTTTGTGTGAAGGTGGCTTTTGAACCGGTCTTTGAATTCAAACGCTTTCATTAAAATTCAACTTTTGAATATGAAGCGATGTTTTTGGACTGTGCGACATTAGCGTGAAATATCGAGCACGAGTTCTCTCTCACAAACGGGTAGGTCTGCAGAGCAAAAACTTCAGTAGTAATTCACCAACCAGCGAACAGCATCTGTGGAGATTGCTTCGGATGTTTGTGGAAAGGCTGCGATCGGTAAAATAGTAGTAAGTAAGTAGCCAATAACAATCCAGAGCCAGAGTTTGGATACCTATCGCACCATCAAACCCAGCGAATATCACCATTCCACGAAATAGGCAACGATGTTTCCTAGAAAGTAGTACCAGTACCGATTTTGTGGAGTTTACTACCAAACCACCAATTTTACATTAAAACTGCATTAACAACAACGCAGTAAAATCAACTTACATATTTATATACATAAATCAAAGATAACTACTCACCGGCTAATTGGTTTAGTGATAAACAAATCATTTATAAAATAAACTAAACTCAAAAGAATGCCCCTCGGGGTTTACAAGTATCAAGTCAAGTACGAATTTCCTGAAAACAAAAACCCGATAGTTGCTTAATTACTTCGCTGGCAGAGAGATGGAGATGCACCGACATACATACATACATACATATGTATGTAATACTTACGGATGTTTATGCGAGATACCCACATTGCTAGGTAGGTACTTGTAAATAATTGACACGCTTTTTCACTTAAATTAATTCAGGATTTACGCCGAGCACAGCTGAACTAGGGTTGCTTTTTAGCAATTGAGAATGAATGCACAATGTACATACATTGCGAGAAGAATCGCCAGTCAGTAAAATGCAATTGTGTTGAAAGTAATGAAGGTATAATGCGATAAGAAAATTCTACAGCAACAAAAAATACCACTACAAAAGCAAGGAAACAACGATGGACTTTGGCTGCATTTACACAAAAGAAATGCCGTTGGGTTCTTAAGCAAATTGAAAGATGCGCAAATTGTACGCGAAAAAAGAGGCTGTGTAGATAAAACGCCTTACAAATGATTGGCGTAAAAATGCAGAAACTTTGTGTGTGGGTATATATATTTACGCGTACCCTGCAGGCAAACCCCAAACTAATGTACCAAATTTCTAGTTCCGTACTAGACCCTTATCGGCAAAAAACGAACCAGTCCGATAGTAACTAGTTCCCCACCAGTTTTAAAGTAGCGAAATGTAGTAGGTTAAAAAAAATGTTTTTTTTTCTTTTTACAACTACATATCACTTGCTAAGTCCACTTTTTCTAAAAATTTATATTTTGATGCAATAGGAAAACCAAAAAGATAATGTTTGAAAGAGAAAAAATCATGTTACCGAGTTGTCAGTCGATTTTAGAACTGGCTCGAAACTATGGAAAAAGTGATGCAGAGCAAACTAGATCCCATCTTTCGAATATGGGACTGGTTCCGAACCAGCGGTGGATAATTTCCACTTGCTAGGACATCGCGTGTTAAATTCGCCAGTTGTTTGCATGCAAAACATACGTATCGCGAATTAGTAGAACTAGTGATTTTCCCACAGGGTATGTACATATGTTTGTACATAATAAGAAACAAGAAATAAATCCTAGTCTGAGCCTGCATCTGAATCTCTCACAACGACTCAAGAACGTTCAAGTTGCAACATAAACAAATTGGAAAAAAGTGAAAGAGGGGCAAAAGGTCAGCCGCTGTTGGCGCATTTATGGATTTACGTTGATGAAATTCCGACCGTTTCTGTTGTGAATGGAACAACGTTTGGAGATTGCCAGTCACGAAAATAAGCCAAAGTTTTAAAAACCAAGAATACTACTTATCTTGGTTAGCTGTTGCTACGTTATGTTTTTTGTGTTTTTTTATCTGGCAATAGACTCTGAATACGACGATGCTGCTCATTGAACTATGCATATAGTTTCGTTGTTGCCTTTAGTTTCATCATTTTCGCTTTTGGTTGAAGGAAACCAAGAAGATGCCATTCGTATGATCTCAAATATCATATCATTGGATAAATAAAAAATTCCTTAAAAAAATTTAAGTTTTATGGAAATAACATAAAAAAGAACTAATCTATAGTTTTTATTTAAATAACTAAAAAAAGATATTTTTAGATATTCTCCAGATTTGGTAGATTTTTTTTCAACTGGGTGGTAAGTATTTTTATCGTCAGTGGCAACCCTGGGTGTGAGTATTCTCGGCATATTTCTTATGCCAATTATACATATAAGAAGGCTTAGAATGGACTAGACGCTAATGCAATCAATTCTGCCACGTAGCATGCTAAGGCTTTTATAGATGTGCTACCCGAGCCATTAGTAAATGCGGGTGAGTAGAGGTACCCCGGAGGTTGCGGTGGCGTTAAAACAATTTTGCTAGCTGCGGCTTGTTATTAATACTAAAAAGATGGAGCTCGTTCTTCCCAGCTGCCCTTGATCGGCGGCGTTCCGCATGTATTTTCTGACAGGGTCAAATATTTGTTCTTGAATCAAGCCGACAGTAAGTTATCCTGGAAGCCAAATATTGAAAAGTGATTTAAAAAAGGCATCAGTTATCCTATGCCGCTTCAAAGCAACGAAGATAATGTAATCTTGTGGCTATATGGAACCATATTGCTGGAATCAGCGGGCGCTCCATAGTACCACTACTATTGTACTCACAGCCTTGCTTTGTGTCGTATCCGTAGAAATTGCGATTAAGACTGTGGAAGTGGATCTGCCATCAGGCTTAGATGTACAATTTTTTCTTCACAACTTTCATACTGTACCTGTAGAAAAGGATCGGTGCGTATCGAGGCTGGCTCCGAACGGATCTCTTACTACTACACTCTTATCTCTGAAGGGAGAAATGAGAGAGCGACCGCCTCAGGAATAGATGTCCAATTAACATCTTCACGGATGGACTTAAATATCTACTCTGATAACCAGGCGGTAATCATATTTCTATGTGCACTCATGGTGGGATCAGGACTGGTCGGGGAATGTCTGGCCTCTCTCTCCCTCTCGATCACCTCGGTCTACTTCGAAGTGGTACTATTCCAGGACCCGGTGACATTGCAGAAAACTATATTGCTGATGGTTTGGCTAGGCAAGGTACATAATTTGAGGGTCATCTTTCCGGACGGGGAGGCCATAAAAGTTCCAACCTGTAGATTGCTCCTGGACAGCTGAACTTAAAGCCGCTTTTAGCTAGTACTGGGCGAACTAACTGATTTTTATTAAAAATAATTTCAATATAAACTTCGCCTTCGTTCGAAGTTGACCAGTACTTTTCTTCATCACATGTCGCTCTTAAAGCCTGTCAGCTATGTCAGCGCATATTGCTTGCCATCTATTGCAGGCAATTTGACAGCCATATTTTCATTTGAAAGAAAGCGTTCGATGAAATTTTGATATTAAATCAAAATAAGAATCTGTTTCTTATTGGATTATTTATGAT